GCAAAGAAGCGAGAGGGTACACACGCAGTGAAAGCCTAGGACCTAATCTACTCTCGAAGATTCATATCCGGTATCAGCATCTCCAAGCTCCGCCCCCTCGAGCATACATCCTCGACGGTGATACCTTCGACTGCCACCTCCTATAGGTTCCCAGCTCAATCCCTCGGAGCAATATCTCGAAGGGCGAAGATGAAGAAGAGGAAAGCGGGAAGGCAAAGAAGAGGAAGGTGATACAGAAGAGGCAAAAAAAAAAGACATAGCCCGCCGAAGCCAAAGGTTGAAGATTCGGTGGGCCTCAACCCTACTCGCACGGCCGCTCCGGGTCCACCTTCCGGGATATCGTGCCGTGCGAGCTTAACGGCCGGTGCGCCATTTTATCCCTTGGGAAAAGACCCGAGGGATGAAGTGCAGCACCAGGCCAGGGTAGGAGAGTGAGTAGCGGTATGTAGTCCGAACACTTTCCCGAGCAGCGGTGTAGAGTCCAAATATTTCCCCAAGTCGGGACAGGCCGACCCCCTTCGTCTCGTCACCTCGGTTTAATGATGAAAGCAGTGATAGCCGTAACAATAACAACAACAACAACAACGAGACAGTGTAATCTCGGTCAGCACAGCAAAGCCCAAGTAAAGGGCCATGGCACGGCTGGTAAGAACGCCGCCATAAGATCTTAAGATCAGAAACCCCAGGCATGGCGGGTAGCAATAAAAGAAGGATAATGAGGATGAGAAGAAAGGAATGAAAAGATGTTGAGAAACACTTGAATAAAAAGTTAGCATGGAAAGGCCCCATTTATAGGGGATGATAGTGTGGCCTACAGTGCCATCAATGTCTTTAGAAGACGTATCGACAGGCGCAATCAATGTGCCATTGGAAATTGGATCGACGGCGATAAAGTCGCCTTGAAGAATGGGAATCGGTAGCATATTGAATGACGCTGAAAAGACAAGTCCATGGGATGTATCGGTTATCGTGGAGACTTACATCGTAAGTATGATATCGTCGGCGTAACATCACTGCGGGAAGTCCAAAGTGTTAGGTGTCAAAACCATTTGTTATCGCTCCTCTCTAAGAAACGCGGGGACTATCTATATACGGTGAAATCGGAGGGTTCCATTTCTCATTATCAAAGCACCTTCAAGAGACCGTCTCGAAGTCCCGGGGCTACAAGGCTACGATCGAGATTCCTCCCTCGAGGTTCGTCGACACTCGATCTTATGATAATGTCAATCATAGCCACGGAGGAAACGGGGAGTTCCCAAGGCACATGGCTAGGACTGACAGAACCTAGGGAGCTACTCTAAAACCCGAGTCCGGGTGTCATTTAGTGGTCACATCTCCATATCCTTGTCATTAATGCTTGTTGTACTATGATGGGATTTTCCTTATATATAAAGGGGATTCCTATCACTTTGTAAGGGTTGGTCGTTTTTCAGTTACTCCACAAGAAAAATATACAGGAACCCTCTATCTCACTTTCTAACATACTCTCTTGATATTATTGCTCTCATTTATTATCTCCACATTTGTTCATCATTTATTGCTTATCATTGGCTATAAAGAGCCTCCGTCAATCTCATTATAACTGTTAGTCACATAGCAATTACCCTCAATAGCTCGTAGCCGAGCCCGGGATCAACCTCGAGGCCCCAAATCGGCAAGTCCGAGGCCCCCAAATAACCAACCTATCGGTTTGATCGTAGCTCCCTCCTTTACTTTATTTCGTCTCTAAATCTCATATATTTAGCATCAACTGCTTAACAAACTAGCATAAAAATGGATCACGTATTTTTAGAGTCTCATCAACAAATTTAATTATTATTACTATTTTCACGGTAAACAAGTAGAAAATATGTTCTAAGACAATTATTTAGAGTGATAAGAAGAACAATACCTATCAACATTTTTAATATTAATTTAAATCTGAAAAGAGACTTGTTTGACTACCAAAAAATAGATTAAACTTTAAAAACTTTTTAGACTGTAAATAGATAAACTTTCTTTATTATTATTTCTAAAAATATGATTTTGTTTTCCAACGGTAGGATTTTGAGATCTAAAGGGTTTGTGGGGGGGGGGGGGGGG